CGTATCTCCGTACAATACCAGTAATTGACACGCTGGAAGAAGTGCAAATGTGATGCCCTGAATAGGCTATAACTGATCATATTGAAAAATGAAAAATATGGCCTCTACATACCTCACATTGCTCTATAACCCGTTTATAATCTAAGGGACAATTTGATATTGAAGTCATAAATTTAAGCAGATATAGCTATACATTTAACATGGAGGAAGACTCTAGAATAACAGTCCTTTCTCCAAAATGACACATACATTACTGTGTAGTTAAATATACTGTATATAAAAAGACAAGTGTTGCTGAACTGAAATAATGAACTGAAATATAAAAGGTAGAAAGAAACGAGGAAGTGAAAGAACAAAAGGAGAATTGTAAAGAATTTCGTATCTCCGTACAATACCAGTAATTGACACTGAGGCTTTCTGAGCAAAAAGCAAGCAAAAGTACCATAAGACAATATTAAAGTGTCTTCTGAAGCCATACGATAACTTTGTGTGAGGAAGAAACCAAAATTTGCTCTCTTTGATGCATCTTAATGAATCGGTCGATTCAGTTCACCTGTCAGAGTGATCTGTTCATGAATCAGCTGACTCAATGAAGCAGACTAACAGCTTACTGGAGGAGAAGATATCAGTCAATGGCTTGATCATCACAAAGTTATTGCATGCCTTTAGAAGACTATAGACCACAAACAGAACAAAAAGCACTTAAATGGTGCTTCTGCATCCATTTTTTAAATCTAAAAGACAAAATTTTTCCCATTCTTTGCATGCAGTACATTGCAATTGCATGGGCTACAAGCATAATTCTTCATACAAGTATAAGTCATACAAGTTTGGAACAAATCTTTATCATTAACTAAATACAACTCGTACAACCATATCTTGAAGTCAGGTTTTAAAATTTCGGTCTGATGACAAGTCTTTTGAAAATGGAAATTCCAAATTGAATGGAATGCAGCCAGTGGTATCACTGGGCACATTATAGAGTTCTTTCCGTACCATTTCAAAGTTGGCTTAAATAGCACATCATTCCACCTGAGGGTCAGTTGAGTCAGATGTCAGATGACTGAGAATTTCAGTATGATTCAGTGAGGCCATCTGCATCTGAAAATAATGACCTTTCTCTCTCATCATTTTTAGTGGTGTTTGCTAAGGCAACCATTACTATTAGTATTGCTTATGCGCAGTGATTTGAACTTGACCCTTAAGTATTAAACACAAGCAATTAACTCATTTTGCACAGTTTATGCTACAGACATTAATAATACCTCAAATCAAGCGGTTCGATGAGGAGACTTCTTTAGAGATCTAATGACTATCACATGTGAACTCTTTTGACATGGGTCAGTAAAACAAACACTTATCAACAACACAGAACACCTTAGCAAACATCCATAACACTTAAGAAAATGTAAAAATTTAGCTTTTATTCAAAATGTTGTCACATTACTTGTCCATCACAATAACTTTAGCCACAAAAACAGCAAGTAAATATCTGCAGCTGTCTTTAAATAAATTGCTAGGCACACAGCTCTTTATGGTGTGAACCAAACAGATGCATCCTCTGTCAGGGATGGGAAGAAAAAAAAACAGCTGTTAGCAATTCATCCTCACAGGAAATAAGTGAATCATATGGACAGATGACCTTTGACTGATCTAACACACAAACATATCAGGCATAACTTGATGATTGGTCCTTTCTGGATCTGACGTCTACTTAGTTGCTGTCCACACTGACAGGCCCAGAAGGGATCTGCGTCCACAAAATCCCGCAAAGAAAGCTGTGTTTTATAATATTAGACCATGTTTAAATTTATTCCACAGATTTTCTCCCAAAATCAGCACAGATGCAGCACAAAAAGCATCTGCAGATTCCATCTGGGCCTACTCATTGGGGAATCTAGATCTAAGCATAGAGCAGAAGTATTTTCACTTGGGTCAGTGCCAAATAAGAAATGAAAGCAAAAAAAACAAATAAATAAAATAACAGATTTTACACTGTGTAGAATGTATAGTATATTTCAAAAACTAAAATAGATTTATATAATAACAATATGCTAATAGGCTAAACATAAATACAATTAAATAATTTAATAACTGCTACTGATTTTATACTGTTTAAATTTTATACTGTATTAAATTTATAGGTTGTGTTTGTGATTTATAGACTTTTTTAATAATTAATAAATTTTATTATAATTAATTATATTATAGTAAAATAGAATATAATTATTATAATATAATTATAACTATTATGAATTGTATTATAATTATAATTTATTAAAATAATTTATTTATATTTTTGGCAAAATTAATAATCTCTATTATTTAATAAACTCATTGCGACTAGTGGGAAACATATGAATCCAAAGGATGAAATGGAACAAATTCAGAACAAGATAAGGATCCAAACTGATCGTTTTCTCCTAATCATTTGGAACATTTTGTGTCGGCTAAATTGCTGTAACGATTAAACACACTGAATCTCTATAGAGAGCACATCATCCGCCTGGCGTTCATAATAAACGTTAGCAATTAGATATAAAGCACAACAATAGTCTCTCAGCTTTGCACAGAGCTCATATGCACAATCTCCCAGGCCAAACCTAAAACCCCACAGAGGAAAGAGATCCCACCAGTTTCCTGTTCTGCTGAAAAGCTACATTAAGATTCAAATCGCAGCATCAGCGGGAACAGAGGATTTAGATTCACAAACTGGGGGAAAACGGGTTATGAAGAAGGATCCCTCAGGCCATGTGAAAACACCCCGGTGTTGATTCCGAGACAGTGGAAGACCCAGCGTGAGCGCCTGATCTCACACCACAGCATCTGGACTCGATCTGCCTCAATAGAAACAGACAGCTACAGAAATGAGCACTCTGCCCCTCCATCCTCTCTCACATTCTCCCTCACTCCATCTCTAATCAACATGATGTTGGTACAGGTCAGTGGAAAAACCCCATCACGCTCACAAAGACAGGTGCAGTACAGATTCAAGCATGAAATACGTGTTTTAGCAACTCAGTCTGGTTCGAAACGAGAAGCAGTTCTGCTGTGAAATGTGACAGTGATTTTCAACCTTCAATGACTGCAAAGAAACAATTTATTTAATAGGCTATGTGCCAGCTATTAGAGCTTCTAAAACCCAGCAGATAAATAATACTGAGGTTTTAATCATATTGAACCAGAAAGCAAACATGCACTTTTCAGAAAGGGGCTGTTATACGGGACAATAACATTACTTCTTGGGGTCGAAAAACATTGTGTACACCAATCAGACACTCATTTCATCATTCATATAAGGGGTCTCTAATCAAGGATGTCTGAAAAATGTTATGAAGTTACAATCTTATAATCTTTTCCATAAAAGCATGAACCTCAGTGTTAAATGTCTGTCATTTAAAGGAACTGAAGTCTCTCACAGAAAACTAAAGTGGAAATACAGAGAACAAAGCCAATCTGAACGGTTCACACCATGATTCCCTTTATGACAGTTAAAGCAAGAAGTTTGAAGCAGGGTATTAAAACAATTGCTACCTGAAATAAAATAAAAGGTTAACTAAAATTAAATATTAAAATACTTAAGATCATTCAGTCTAACTTGATGTACTAAAATTGAAACCGAGACTGAAATTAAAATAAATTAAACAAAAACTAATACAAATGACAAAAACACAGAAAATTCTTACATTTGAAAACAGAAAACAAAAAAACTAATCAAAAATATGAATAAAAACTACAACAGCACCTCGTGATACTGAAATAACACAAGTCTCATTTTCTGTTAAAGGGGTCCTATTATGCTCTCTTACAAAGTCTTGATTTTGTTTTGGGGGTGTACTAGAACAGGCTGTCATACTAGGTTGTTCGAAAAACACATTATTTTTCACATATTTTACATTATTATAACACCTCTCTCCCCAGTCTGGCATGAACGGCTCGAATAGTTCCTGTATCAAATGAAGGCCCGCCTTCTGAAATACGAAATGTGCTGTGATTGGTTAGCTGGGCCAGTGTGTGTTGTGATTGGCAGCACTCGGCACCTGCTCGGGAAATGTCACGCCTCTTACCATAGCCGCCTGCGAGCTTCAGTGTAAATATTGCGTCAAAATCAAATCAATCTGAGCGCGATTTAAACCCGGATGATTATAACCGCTCTAAGTTCGTCTGCTTTCGTGTCTCCGATACAGTGATAACACTCGTTGCCTTCTCTAGTGCAGCTCAACCAGGACTCGTCCCATTCGTCGATATTTGTGACATCACAAATCCCAGAAAATATGTGTTGTAGTCCAAACGAGCCGTTCGTTGTAGTTTTTGAAAAGTGATTTCTGTTAAATAAAATATCTCCTATTGAAGTGGACTTTGAGCTTTGTAACTTCGCAGATCTTTTTTATGCTCAAGCAGCAACATTAGACTAACTAAAGTTGAAATAGTGAAAAAGCATAATAGGACCCCTTTAAGACTCAGTATTTATGGTTCGGCTTTCAGAGACAACAATTGTGATCATATAAAAATAATCAAATTAATTCCAATATTAATCACTTAATTTCCCTTTAAATTATTGTATATGTTCATCTGGCCAAAACAAAACAGACGACAGCTTATTGAAGCTCTGTTGAAGCTACTGTTGTGCAATATATAGTAGCATTTGTGTTGGACTTCATTGGACTCGAACTGAAAAACACACTGTGGAACAAAAAATAAAAATAAAATCAATTTTACAAATCCAAGTATACTGACTAGAGTGTGTCTTAACATATGAAGAAAATGCACACTGTATTCATGTTTTTTAAGCGGTCACTAGACGCCAAATATAATGAAAACACTCTCACTGAGGACTTCTGAAACATGTTATCGACTTTTATGTTATCGATATTTTTGAACTAACGTTACGACCTGGAGTCCCAAACAAAAAACAAGAGTGACAGTGCCGTACATAAAGCCCATCAGGACTGTGTTTGAACCGTGAACCTCTGTGTGACAGCAAAAACAGGAGCTCTGACCTGCTGGTAGTTCTCGTCTTGCGGTTTAAACGTGTGGTCCAACGGCTGAAACCTTAGATTCACGTGAGGAAACTCGTGAAGCCAGTAAGTCCACCAAGGAGCGATATAATCAACCCTTGCAGACGACATCCTTCAGCAGTCGACGAGACGAATAAATCACTTTCCTGGAGAGAGAGACGGTCGGACAATTTGGGTGTTTCTTTCCTGGTTACTCTCCGTTGTCTTCTCAAACAAAAGCCATGGATTTAGACATTAAAGAGACCGAGTACTCAAACAAAAGTGCTGGAGGGGACATAAAAAGATCTCGGAATACTTCCTCCAAATCGCAGACCATGGGAACTGACGGGAAATGTTGAATTATTGCATTAAATCCCGGTCTCGTGCCGCAGCCATTCCTGCGCGTGTTGTGCTGCACGATAGGGACTCGAGGTCGCGCTTGAATAGGAGGATGAGGAGGATGAGGAGGATGAGGCAGTTTCTTTTGAAACTTTTTATTTTATTTTATGGTGGCCTAATTGTGTTGATAACGAGATTCAGCAAAGATTGAAATCAATATATATTATTTATTTTGGAGATGAGCTTTAAACTCTTTGTTTGAATAAAATATTCTTAAAATGAGGTAAATACTGAATTTAGTAATTTATTTGAAAATATCTAACGCAGTGCTGCTATCTATTGGGCAACTCAAGTAAATGCAGACACTGGTACTATATAAACAAAGAAATAATAATAAACAAACATGTTCAAACACTATTGGTATCCGCAATAAAAAGCGGACACCAACTTTTACTACCATATTAAAAAAATATTATTTTTTTCTCTTCACGTTTTGATTAAGAACGGAAAAATATATAGGCAAAAGCTAGTGCTCCATACATTTTCATAGGGAGGTTATTTTAGATGTGAATTATTTAACACAATATGTTGCTTAGTTAGGTTCCTATGTAGATGTTGTTAAAATGTCAAAATTCGTATCATGGTTTTGCACAGAAAACTGTATATTTGATGAAATATCAGTGTTACATTCTCTTAATAAACACCTTGTAGTTTCATGACCGTGGACAGAATGCCAGTCATTGCTAAATGGCAGTATTATTTTTCATTTAGTTTGAGATTACATTAAAACTATTTCTAAACATTGTGCATCATGCACGCAATGACATTAACCTGATTATAAAAATTTTTTAAAAAAATGTACCTGATAAAATATTACATTTCCAAGAAAGGTAGACATAAGACTACATGAGAAAATGTGTCAGCTATATTACATCTATATTTTGGAAATGTTTTTATACTGGATTTATACCAAATACCACAGTTGATAAACTAGGATATAAATACCATGGCCTTACCAAACAAGTAAATTAAACTACATGCAAATCTGCAAGTAGTATTACATTTACAAGGGTAAGTGTGAAAAAGCATAGAAACAAACAAAACACCATTCTTAAATTTTCCCAATTTTATTACAACACTTTGTACGAGACATCTACTTCAGCTCCTTCACAGCCAGACCTGAAACAAGAGAAAGATGGGTCATATTTACAGTAATCCTTAAAGGGACAGAGTCCAGAACCGACACAGCTGTAAGTGTTAGTGAACCGGTGGAACTGAAGTCTCTGAGTGACGCGAAACCCAGCACTTGGTCCATCATTGCTCTAGCAAGCGTGTAAATGCACAGTGGGCACAGAACAGGCCCAAAGTGTTTGGACATCTTGCATACTTCTCAAAAAACTGATCACAGCACTTCCATGACTTTCCAGACAGTTGCAAGCACTTTAAAGATCTCAAAGTTCCCTATATTACTTATATGGTATTATAATCCCAGCAGTTGGACGTGGTGTTTCTGAAGACTCACCTGGTGGCAGGGACTGCTTGAGCTTCTCAGCCTTCTCTTTGTCTGTGATGACTAATGTGTACAGGTACCTGCTGCAGCGGACCTTGAACTTCACATTATCCTTGTTCTTCTTGATTTTGACAGCTGTTGGAACACAACACATGGATATAGACAGACGTCCATCAATACTAGTAAACACTTTTGTAGTAGCCAAAGCAGAAGCCAAATATGGTTAGAACTCTGAATATTTGAGAAATTGACAAGTCGATAACATTAACACCTTTAGCAAATGTCACAAAATCACATAATGTAGTTCTCATTCAACATTTTGTCCTGTCAGACCACCAGTACAAAATCTATTGAACCTTAAAGGGATAGTTCACCCAAAAATGAAAATGCTGTCATCATTTACTCACCCTCAAGTAGTTCCAAACCCGTATAAATGTCTTTGTTCTGCCGAACAGAAAGGGAGATATTTTGAAGAAAGTTTGTAACCAGGCTGTTTCGGGGCACCATTGACTTCCATAGTAGGAGAAAAAAAAAATACTATGGAAGTCAATGGTGCCCCAGAACTGCTCGGTTTCCCACATTCTGCAGAATATCTTCCTTTGTGTTCGGCAGAACAAAGACATTCATACAGGTTTGAAACTACTTGAGGGCGAGTAAATGACAGAATTTTCATTTTTGGGTGAACTATCCCTTTAAGCCAGTTCTTGTCAATCCTGGTTTTGTAACTAAACATTTTGGCCGTCTAAAGCATTTTGGTAACATCAGCTCCTTTCTAGAACCGGAAATGTACATCCAAAATGTTCAGTCCTCCAGGACTGAGATGCACTGCCTTCAGTAAAGTGAGTACTTTAAAGATGCACCAAACAGCATCAAAATAACCCATTCAATAATGCAGTATGTACTACCTTATCAAATTATTGAGTACCCTATACCGGTGAACCCTGCTGTGGAGTTTTTCCTAAGTTGCAAAAAATGATTTGGCTTGCCGGGTTGACATCTGCCAAAAAATTGTTAGCACAACACTGGCTCCCTCCACATACTTTGGATATGTACAAGTGGCCAATGCAACTTCAAGACATTATGATGTTAGAAACATCCACGGCTCGGGTGAATATGGCACAACTTTCTGGACTATAGCTGCTGAGAAGATCTCCAAATACATTACACAGAACAATGACTTGGACTTAGAATGATTTTTTTCCCCCCTTCACAGAAATTCATGTTTCAGGATTCCTGTGACTTTTTCTGTTATGTATTCAGTGTGCTCCCCATTGTTAGAGACCGCAGGAGGGAGGGCTGGAAGATGTTGAATTGAGATGTTACATTGTTTTCATTCTGACTGGTTTGCTAAAAAAAAATAACCCATACAATAAGACCATACAAACCATGTCACAATAATAATAATAATAAAATAATATACAGCACTAGGTTACAGCAGAAACACGAAGGAAAACCTCATGCGGCGGTCATAAATGAACCATGACTAGTTTATTAGAAATCAAACTTACACTTGGCATCCTTCCTCCTTGCTGTAAGCAGGAAATCTTTGATTTCTTCAATTTTGCGTGGCTGTGAAAAAATGAACACATATTAGACACGCAACTACATTTACACGCTAGTACTTAGTTCACTCGACATCTTGAAATATTATCAGTTTCTCTAGAATTAACGTTACCCGCCAAACAATCTCACCATTTTGTTTGAGGCGCGACTCGACCCTGCAATGCAGAAAAACAAACTTTATTTACACTATTCTACACATCTTCCGGCAAATATTTCGTTTAATGACACAGCGATATTTGTTCTTTCACATCACATATGTATGAAATGTGAATATTGACGGATTGATGCAGATTGACATGGATTCGTTTGATAGAGCTAAAGTGCTAACACTTACACGTCCCGCGAGCGAGGGGGGAAAAGGGGCGGGACTTCCGCGTGAAGGCTTAATATAGACCGGCTACGGTGGCTCAAGAGGGATTCTCTGGTTTATAAAGTCAAAACTCACAGTGGCATCTACTGGTGCAGCATGAATATATCATGCCATTTATTAATATATTCATCGGGAGACTTTAATGTGAAAAATATACGTACAGGTGCATCTCAAAAATTTGAATATCGTGGAAGTACTTGTTTTGTAACTTATTTCAAAAAGTGAAACTTTCATACATTCTGCTTTCATTACAAGTAAAGTGAAACATTTCAAAAGTGTTTTTGTTTTTGATGATTAGAGCTTGCAGCTCATGAAAGTCAAAAATCCAGTATCCAAAAATATTACAATATGTCCTAAGATCAATCAAAAAAAGGATTTGCAAAACAGAAAAGTTCAAGTTCTTTAAAGTATGTTCATTTATGCACTCAAGTGCTTGGTCGGGGCTCTTTTAGCACAAACTCCAGCATCAGTGAGGTGTGGCATGGAAGCGATCAGCCTGTGGCACTGCTGAGACACTATTGGGCCTTCAGCTCGTCTGGATTGTTGGATCGACTGTTTCTCATCTTTCTCTTGAAAATATCCCATAGATTCCATATGGGCTTCAGGTCAGGCATGTTGGCCGGCCAGTCAAGCACAGTAATATCATGGTCAGCAAACCACTTGGAAGTAGTTTTGGCACTGTGGGCAGGTGCTAAGTCCTGCTGGAAAAATAAATCAAAGCTTGTCAGCAGATGGAAGCATAAAGTGCTCCAAAATCTCCTGGTAGACAACTGCATTGACTTTGCACTTGATAAAACACAATGGACCACCACCAGCAGATGTCACGGCACCCCAAATCATCACTGACTTCAGAAACTTCCCACTAGACTTCAAGCAGGTTGGATTCTGTGACTCTCCAGTCTTCCTCCAGACCTTGATTTCCAAATGAAATGCAAAATTTACTTTTATCTGAAAAGAGGACTTTGGACAACTGAGCAGCAGTCCAGTTCTTTTTCTCCTTAGCCCAGGTAAAATGCTTCTGATGTTGTTTCTGTTTCAGAAGTGGCTTGGTAGCTCTTTTCCTGAAGACGTCCGAGCGTGGTGACTCTTGATGCACTGACTCCAGCTTCAGTCCACTCCTTGTGAAGCTCTCCCAAGTGTTTGAATCAGCTTTGCTTAAGTATTCTCAAGCTTGCAGTCGTCCCTGTTGCTTGTGCACCTTTCCTACCCAATTTCTTCCTTCCAGTCAACTTTGCATTTAATATGCTTTGATACAGCACTCTGTGAACAGCCACCCCTTTCAGTAATGACCTTCTGTGACTTACCTTCTTTGTGGAGGGTGTCAATGATTGTCTTCTGGACCATTGCCAAGTCAGCAGTCTTCCCCATTATTGTGGTTTCAAAGAACAAGAGATACCCGGAATGTATACTGTAAGGATGGTCATTTAATGAAACTCAAATGTAAATATTCTAATATTTTGAGATACTCGAGATTTTTGTGTTTCATGATCTGTAAGCTCTAATCATCAAAATAAAAAATAAAATAAAAAAACGTCTGAAATGTTTTACTTTACATATAATGAATTAGAATATATGAAAGTTTCACTTTTTGAAATAAGTTACACATTTTTTTTTTTTTTTACGATATTCAAATTTTTTTTAGATGCACCTGTAGGCTATTTTGTGAAATAGTTATCACACCATTTAGGTTAATGTTAATAATTTCATCCATTTAAAATGAAAAAGTGAAGACGTTTTTGT